GGGGCACGGCGGGCACGGAGCCGCGGCCACGGGGAGGGACACGGCGGCGGCCACACGTGCCGGGCCACGGCCGCCACACGCCGGCTGCCAGGGGATCAGCGGCGTGCACGGGCAGGGCGGCCCACGCGGCGACACCGGCGGCACAGGCAGGCTGGGACACGCGTGGAGAAACGGGAACAGGGCACAGGCCCAGTGCGCGCTCTGGGGCACAGACACAGCCCCAGTCTCACAGAGAGCACCGCAGCACAGCATCACACACACAGAGTTTCACACACACAGAGTTTCACACACACACACACACACACACACACACACACATACATTTTCACACACACACACACACAGTTTCAGGCGCACACAGTTTCACACACACACATTTTCACACACACACACACACACAGTTTCAGGCGCACACGGACCCGCGCCCGCGCTCCCACACGCGCGGCACGGGCACAGCCGCGCACGGTGACGCGCACAGCCGCCACAGCGACCGGCAGCACGTGTGCTCGCACTCCCGCTGACACGCAGAACCTGGCAGACAGCTGCACGCAGACAGACACACGGACAGACACAGACACACCGTTAATTGTTGCCGCAGCCAGGAGGGGCATGGCCAGGACCCAGAGGTTGCTCTGCTGTCACCGCGGGTCCTTGCTGGCGCTGGGTTATGGGGGAGTCTGTCCCTTAGCGAAGGGGCTCCTCCTGGTCCAGTAAGCGCGGGGTGGGGGCGGTGGGTAACCCCGGTTCTGAGCATTTCTCCTGAGAATCACTTGTCTCTCTCGAACACTTTTTTTATTAACGTCATTGCTGTTACTGTTCACTTTCTTATCTCATTGGTGTTTCCAGTAAATTGTTCTTATCCCAACCCGTGGTCTTTACCTTCGATTCCTCCAATTCTCCTCTCTATCCTGCCACGGGGAATGGGGAAAATGGTGGGGGGAGCGAGTGGCGGCGTGGTTTCAGTGGGAGCAGTAAATAAGGGAATAACAGCCCTAAACCACGCGACGGACACACCGAGACGAACACACAGACACAGACGGACACACAGACGGACAGACGGAGAGATAGACAGACAGACACACGCGCGCGGGCCCCCGCCTGGCGACAGCCAATGGCGCGGCGAGTCTGGCCCCGGCGCTGCGTAGCGGCCAATGGGAGCGGTGGGGGCGTGGCCCGGCTGGCTCCGCCTCCCTACTTAAGCGCGCGGGTGGCCGCGGGCCGCTCAGTGGCGGGAGGAGGAGGCGCGGGGGCGAAGGCGCGCGAGCAGCGGCGAGCCCGGCATCCCGCGCAGCCCGCCCGGCGCGCCCGCGGCGATGGAGCAGGACAAGTACCTGCCCGAGCTGATGGCCGAGAAGGACAGCCTGGATCCCTGCTTTGTTCACGCGATGCGCCTCCTGGAAGACGGTGAGTCTCCGCTCCGCGCTCCCCGGGCCGGGGCGCTCCTGGGGTCGGCGCTCGGCGGCCCCGGCCGATGGACACGGAGCGAAATGGGGTTCGCGGGCGGGCGAAGCGGGCTCGGGGCGGCGGCGGTGCGGGGCTCGGGCGGCCGGAGCCGCGCTGGGGGAGCCGTCCGGCAGCAGCCCCGCTCCCGCCCGCTCTGCCGCGGCTCGTTCCCCCTCTGCGGGAAGCGCTGCCCTGGTTCCCGGGCTCACTTACACAAAGGCACATGCCGGCGTCTCGTTACACTAGTTATATCCTGGTTTCACACGCTGAAGTGTTAAGGTTTGTATGGTGATACTGTTATGCCGTTAATGCGGCGCTGTTTTAGTCGACTGCGCGATGTCAGACATTGATTGGATGTGGCTTATCAATTTCATGACAGTTTCATCCAGGACATGAGGATTTCCTCTTGGTTTTGTGTGGAGATCAGCATACACTGGTTGTAACATTTGGTTACTCAATGTAATTCGCTCTGGTTTCCTTGCTTTAGTTGGAATAGAGTTTTAGTTGGACCTCAGCAAGAGCTTCTTTAGAAAGTTTAAAATTTAGTCTCTCTTTTAATAACTCCTCAGTATAGTGGTTGAGTGAAGACCTCATGGTGCAGAGTTTCAACTCTTGCCAAAGTGTAATCCATTAAGTTTCTCTTATACATATCTTTCTTCTGAGATTTTTCATAGAATTTTTAAAAAACCCTGTTAAACTTGGAACCTAATGTTGAAAAGAAGTTGTAAAGATTGATGCATAAATCAAGATAACATATCAAGATCTTAAATGAGATTAAAGCAAAGAAATATATGATCAGAATATATATGGTCATGAGAGTCACATTCAAATAAACTCACATTCAGAGGTGGCAAATAATTTCCTAAGTTCTGTTTATGACTTAAAGAAAATCATAACTAATTCAGATTTACCATGCTAAGCATTAAGTTTTTCCTCTGTCAGCAGTTTTTTTATATTGTCTTTCCTTAATGTATGTTCTATTGATTGTGAATGAAGATATTGAGTCCAGGTTTTGTTGGAGTGCTTCTGTTTGATAGCTTTGAAATTCATACTGAGTTTCAGTATGAATATAGAGACCCATTTAGTGCCCTTTTGTCATATCTGCCTCGCTGTTAAAGAGGCAGCCATGCTGCTTTTTACAGTTTTTCTAATAATTCTACCATAAACAAAGTCCTTATTTCTTAGAGGAATATATTTTTTGAACCTTGCAGTTCGATCTTTTCCCAGAGGGGGGAAGTATCCACTGGGAGTGTGTGTGTGCGTCTGGGAAAGGAGGAAAATGCAGGAAGGACAAAACCGAAAGTAGGCAAAGAAAAGTAAAAAAAAAAAAGGAAAATAGAATTGTTTTTTCTAGGCATCAATTTCATGCAGAAGTTGTATTTTGAGCAACTGTGAAATTGAATAAATGAATGATTTTCTCATTCCTTCTTAGCATTATTTCACTGGATTTTTTAAAAGATGAAGGTGAGTTGTCTGAGAGAATGCTAATGTCAGATTCACACCAGGTACCTGGCATTGTCCTTCAAAACACCATCTGTCATGCTTTCTAGAGATTTGTTTTAGAGTCTAACATACGATGACTGTTAAAACACTTAACCATGGTAAGAATGTTACTACTTAAGAAAATTAAAATTAATGCACTGGTTGCTGCTGTGTATAAATAGAAAGGAAATTTATAGAATGGGCAGAATTTTCTTTTCTGGTTGCTAGAAGAAAATGGAATCCTGGTGCAAGGATCTCTGTAGCAGTGAATAAATTTTAGGTTGTATTCATGAGAAACCATTGTTTCCAGACTCTGGATTTCTGTTCTTTAGAATGTAATGTGCAATCAGCTACATCCATAATGATGCCAGCCAGGTGTTCTTCTTATGGTGTCCTAAGCATTTTTGATTGCCAGTACATTTTGTATCAGATGCTTAAGTGTGGATTTGCTGTGGAGCTCAGAGCCTCAAGCATTCACTCGGACTTGAAAGTGCTGTGTTGTTTCGTGTTGGCTGCTCAAACCTGAGGTTGAGAACAGTTGTGTTGCTGTGAGAAACCGCAGAAGGGCACAGAAGCAATAAGTATTCCAGAAAAATGCTTCTGATTTGCAACAGTGGATTTACTTGTAAAGATAAGACTGCCCATTTCCCCCCAATAATTTATTTTGTTTGTTGGATTCTGTTGCATGAATTTTTTTGTTTGTGTGTTTTGGTGTACTTAACCAACATATTTCTTATGTTTTCAAAATGTTGGTCTGTGTCCTTCAGGTTGACCTGTGTCAGATGCATACTTCAATCGGTAGCTATTTATCCCTCACCATTAAGGGATGACTAGAAATCACTTACTTTAGTCCTTACCTGGGTCTGGTGAAATCCTCAGAAAAGGGACATTTCCTTTGGCAGAGTATTCCCATACTTACCAAACAACATAAAGAAAGGTGAGGAAAAAGGTGGAAGTGGTGCTAAATACAAGGTGTGGAGACAAAACCCGATTTCTTTAAAAACCACTGTGGGAATGTGTTGTGGATTCTGACAGTGAACCTAAGTCTCTGAATGGCCAATTTAGTGCCTTAATCAGAAGATGCTTGATTTCCCCATGGGTCATAACCTGTTTCATGTAGAAGTACATCCTATATGTTGCACTATAAGAAATGGAAATGTCATTGGTAAGTCATCTACTAGAATAACTTGTGAGTGGCTGGTGCTATTTGCCTCAGCCTAAGTATTTTCAAACTTTTGCAAAATGTGTTGAACATACTTATTCTGAGAATATAATCAATTCAGTAATGAAAGTTAAATACCTTTTCATTGTAATAGGTAGTTGAACTCTAAAGAATAGGCTAATCTCCATCTGTTCGAAAGGACTTTTTTGTATCAAGTGAACTGTTTTGTGTACTAGGCTGTTATAAGAGCTGAGTGTCCCTGTTTCATGTATAGTTTTAAACTATTTTATTGTATACTGGTTACCAGTACTTATTTTCTCAGGTAAGATTGTTCTGCTGCTTTTTTGTATCAAGTGAACTGTTCTGTGTACTAGGCTGTTCTAAGAGCTGGAAGAGTGTTCCTGTTTCATGTATAGTTTTAAACTGTTTTATTGTATACTGGTTACCAGTACTTATTTTCTCAGGTAAGATTGTTCTGCTTTTGGTCAGGAGATGTCCTGATAAATGTATGACCTCAAGTAATGCTTGGTTAGATGAAAAATGTCAAAAGTGGAGAGCATGTTCTTGAGCAGTACCTTTTTACCCAGTTTGTGCTTATACAGCAGCACGCTCCAGGGAGAACAGAGAGCCTCTCTGTTCTAGTGCTGCTCCCTACCATGGAAGCTACCAGCTCCTTATATGTGTTACTTTGGCGTGTTTGTCAATATTTATTGCTTAGTGTAAGATGTCTGTAGTTATGAATATAAAAATAAGTGTCACTTTAGTTGTGAAGGTGTGGATGACATAGAATGATGCAACTAGTTTGATAGTTCAAAACTTGTTTTATAACAGCATTCCATTTAATAGGCTAAAGTGTCAGCTAATTGTCTATGTACTTTTTGGGGTCAAGCAAATTATATATGTGTGTGTGTGTGTGTATATATCTGTGTGTGTGTGTATGTCTTTATTTATATGTGTGCAGCTTTGGAATATCTTGGATAGTGTATTCTTAACACCAGCTCTGTGTTTTGTAATATAAACATAAAGGAAAAAGACCTATTGGAAAGAGCTGGCCAAAGTAAGAGCATCTCTCCCCATGGAAATATCAGCATTACTAGGGTAATGAGGTAGCTAATTTCTCTCTCTTATAATGACAGTGCAATTGACCTCAGAATTTCAGCTGCATTCTGAAGGCAGTGAGAATCAGGCCTTTAACTGTAATCTTGAGTTAAGTCCCTAGATCATTCCATGTGGCATAGCAGAGTTTGTTAAACCTCCAAGTTGTGTAAATTAGGCTCATGTAGCTCAGCTATCATCCCCATACAAGCTTCTTGTAGGACAGGACATGATTATTCAAAACATTAGCCTTTACACTGAGCATTAGTAGGGTCTCTCATACAAACCTGCAGTAGTAGTTCTAGCTAGTAGAAAACTGTTGACATAATGCAAGTTTAGTTTGTCTTATATTCAGGATTTCAGCTAATACACTGTTGTATATAGGTTTGGGGTTTCTTTGGACTGTTGGCGATTGATGTTCTTTTCATATAGGAATGCAAATTTAGTGTGAGTATGTGTTTCTGTTAAAAACCTGGGATAATAATAAGGTTGTTATTTGAAAATTATTTGTCTTGGAAATACAGAATATGACAATCATATCCTTAGCCCTAGATGTGAAAGGCTGTTGCTCAAGCCTATGACCTACTAAAACCAGGCCTCTGATACTTTTTATATTTTTTTTCATTGAAAACTACTTGTGAAAATGTGCTTGCAAATTTATGAGTTCACTTGTGTCAACAAGCCTTTCAACTAAAATAAGATTAATGTAAAATGTAAATGTAAATTCATACAATAATATTAATCAGTGGGCAGCTGCTATTCTGCTTATTGTTTCTTTTATTCCTGATGTTTACATCAGGTAAGAAGAAATCTGTATTCACAAAATAGTTGGTATTAATCATTGTTTGCTTTGCTGTCTCAAGAAATGCACTGTAAATTCCCGGTAGATTGACTCAGGAAACATGCTAATATTCAGAGCGTGTATTTCAAGTACCTTGGTTTCATTAGAAAGTAGATTTGTATTGATCATTTGGAGCCTTTTCAATAGAAAGTGCAAACTCTAGATGAATACAAGATTCTTACAATTTCTATAAAGGAGTGATGTGCTAGGTGTTACGGGCTTGGTTCAAAGCTGACTACACTTAATGGGAATTTTTCTGTTGCCATTAGTGGGCTATCAGACAGTCCTTGTAATACAAATATGATCTGTTGACTGGTATAGCCAATAGGACATGCTTTTACCTTGCAGAATGTAATGCAGATGAATCCCAAGTGATAACCA